CTGGCGGCTAACAGCTTAAACAGCCGATTTGACAAAGCTCTGTCTCACCGTACGTACCTGTGTTTATAGTGATAAATAAATAAAGATTGTCTGTATGAAAGTACAGAGTAGTGAAGTGCTGCCACTGAAGACGACCCAGGCCGAAATGTGACTGGGGTCCCTTTCAAATGTGTTGACTCTCTAGTTGTCCATCTTAGCAGTGACTGCCCCTCCAACACTCTTCTACCCCTCCTCTTCCTCCTCCTCCTCCTCCTCTCCTACCTGTTCATCTGTGTCATGTGTGACTCACGTCTCACTCTTGCATTTTTCTTCCCACGTATCTTTCACATCTGCCAGCTCTGCATGCCCTCCCCCTCCTCCTCCCCCTCCTCCCTCCTAGCTACTCTTCTCTACATGGATGTCCACTAATATGACAATTAACTCTATCCGCTTACCTCTATCCTTTCCCCCCGTTTTGATACAAATATGGCTGCATTTGTACAAGCGAAAAAGACAAAGCAAATCATGTAGTTTATAGATTCATCCTTTGTTTCTAATTTTAGTTTGAATTCCATCTGGATTTTTTTTTTATTTTTCTCCCCTCTTATTATTTTCTTTGTACTTTTTGGTTTGTTTATTTCTCCTTAGTCTCTGGACACAGTATGTAGCTTTGATACTAAAAGAGGTCATTGTCTTTTTCCCATTTCGCTGCGGAGAACATTCCTTTCTCCTTTTTTCTTTTTTCTTTCTTTCCTTTTTTTTGTTGATATTGCATACGTGTCACTGATTGAAATGGAAGGTAGGTAATGCTTTGCCTACGCACGTGATCTTTATGCAGATGAGAATGTGACAAGCACCCTAGCCTGAGTGACGTCAATGTTTCTCTCTCTCTCTCTCTTTCTCTTTCTCTTTCTGTTATTTACCAATGGTCTTTAACCAAAATTGATTTTACCTCATCAATTATGATTTGACTCTTAAAAGATTGGATTACGTAGAGCTCTGGTTTTTCTCTTTCCTCCTTAACTTCATTCTGAAGTCCAATATCCCGCTTTATCTTCCAGGTCCATTTCTTTCTCCACTTTTCTTTTTGTTTTGGTAGAATGCATTCCTGTTTGTCCAGCATCTCTCTGTTTGTTGGTGAATTAGTACATCCGTCTTATGATTTTCCACCATATTTATTTCCACTGACTGTTTCTAACAACTGTCATGAGCACCAGTGGTTGTGTGTTTTCTTATTATACCGCTTAGTTGTCCTCTCCATAGTGGAGAACGGCTCTTCTTTCTGCAAAGGACCAGTCGGTGCCTTTGTTGTATCTCAGATTACGAAGGAGTTTTAGACAGCACATGATAATGCATGCGCAAGAGCCAGCTGTATTTGGTTTCACACAAAACGCCTTTTTTGGAGTTCTACCCTCTTTTTATGACCTGCTTACACTGAGCAGTGTGTAACTGTGCATCATAAGTTTCAGTCCCCGACTCCCACTGAATCACTTATCCAAGCTCTATTTTGGTTGAATGCTTAAAATAGAGGTTTAGAATATATTTCAACTCTCCCTCTACCAACGGATAAGGCTGGCATTACATGTCTTTCTTCCTATGAACAAATCCCATGAAAAGACCTAAACCACAATGTGTAAGTCTGTCAGTACTTTCTGACTTCCTTCTTGTATCCGTCCCAAATCTGTGAGTTCCTATTGAAGATTTAAGATTTTCAAAAGGGGTCTCAAATATGTACTTTCATTATAGATCGAGACTAAGGGACTGCCCACACCAAGAACAAAAACTATAAATTTACTGTAGTTTTAATGATCACTCTAACTCAAGTGGCACCACAACAATGACGATGACAGTTGTGAAAAATATCAATGGTATCACCTTCAGAGCAATTTAGTGAACGATAGAAATGCTGACAGCCAATCAAAATCCATCCAAAGTTACATCACATTTGCTAATTTAGGCTGAAAAATAACACATCATAAAAAATCATAATTTTACCTAAGACATGCTGCCAAGGGGTCTTAAGCGCTGATATGGTCTCTTGAGTTCGTTTCATCCACATCAGGATACCTTGAAATTGATGTTGTCTCACACAGAAGTATACATACAATTTGTCTTCAGAAGAGGCAACTATCACCTTAGAGTTACAGCTCACTCAGTCACACAGCTCATGTTTGAAATGCCTCATCACTCCAATCTTTGCCCCCCTATAAGCGAGAGCCTGCAGGTGGATGCTGGGGCTGAAAGAGCAGGCAGCAATACTAATACAGGGCAACACCACAAGACAGACAAGGCAGAGGGAGGGCTGGGAAATTTCTGCAGCTTAAATAGATCACCAGAGTGGGAGGGTTTGTTTTATGGGTGGTTTAAGGAGAGTATGACATGTGTGTTTGAATCAGAACAACTGGAGTTGACTGCCTGAACTAGCTCCCAGGTGTCACTCGATCTTTGGATTCTCCTAACTCCTCTCATCTGATTTTTAAGTCCGAACCTGACCCGAGCCCGACGCAGTTTGTTACCTGACGTAGTTATTGTTATGGACAGTGTGTAAATGACCATGAAAAGACTGCTGTTACTCACAGTCAAACACGCCCCTCGTACAGCAGCGCAGCATGGCACTGTACACACACTTAATTGGAGCAGAGCCTGTGTTGCATTCAGGCGTTGTTACATAAATAACAAATTCCAGCACTTGAGTAGGCCATAGCACAACACAGCAGCATGTAAAGTGGGCCGAACCGGAGCAACATTTTTGATGTCTTATCACATCGTTAGCGTTACAGTTCTTGCTGTAGTTATTATTCTTGGTGTGGACGACCCTTGAAGAGTCTACAGCCACATCTGTGGCTCACTGAGGCCAGACACAGTGGTCCTGTGAACTAAATGCTAACGTCAGCATGCTAACATGTTCAAAACAACAATGCTAACATGCTGATGTTTAGCAGGTGTAATGTTTACCACGTTTGGCATCTTAAGTTAGCATGTTAGCCTGCAAACATTAGCTAAATAGCACTTATCACAAAGTAGAGCTGAGGTGTAAAGTTTGCAGGTGCTCATGTTCATGTTAATGAAGGAACAAAGATGTCACCCAATGCAGCAGAGTGGCTCACCGATGTGTCTTTAATATTTGTCGGACAGAATTGAGCTCTGTGTCACAGAGGAATAAGCTAGTTTAAGCTATCATTGTAGGATCAGTTCATTGTTGAGGTGTCTTTTCATGGGATTTATTGACAATAAAGGCCTTTACATATCACAATTAATGTACACATCAGTATATTTTATAAACTATTGTTTTTGTCATGAGTACTTAAAAAAAAAAAAACCTGGATAGCAGTGCCAGAAAAATGACTTTTTTTGGAATAAGGTTGATTTTTCTGAGCTTGTGCACTTATGAGGATCATAAAACAACACAGAGGCTCCCTAGAGAATTGACAGGAGACTTAAATTCACTCAGTGCATTTCGCTAAAGGGCAATTCGAATAGCTTACACTTGCTTTAAAAGACGGCTAGCTGCTGCTCTGGGTCAGTAGGATCCCGGTAGTTGTTGTAAATTTGCATCGCTGCGGGTACAAATAGCTGTGATGTGTTGTTTATCAGTAACATCCCTGGTGTGTAAAGGCCTTCAGAAACATACAAAATATTGCCGGCCTTATCCTTTAAAACTCATTTTAAGACCTGCTAGCTTCAAGGTAATTGAGTCTATTCATGAATCTAAAAGTAGCTTTTCACTTTAAAATACCAAAGGATCTATTCACGGTCTTATTGTTTTATCAGTTAGATACAATTTCACCGACCAAATGGTTTTTGGGGGTTATAACCTCTGATTGACATAAATGTGGTTGAACCCAAGTGTCCGTAATAACCTAACACTCACTGTTATGTAGCAGCAACTCCCTGGAACGACAATAACAGAGAAGTTGTGACAAGTAGAAGTGTCCTGTATCAGCACAACCAGTGATTGTAACCAGTAGAAGCTCAGGTAGTTACCCTGTAAACGTGTCAGGCAGTGAAAAAACGCCTGCCCCTGTGGTAGATACAACACGGAGAGGAAATGGTAAAGAAAATACCTTTTAACTCTCGCCAGCAGTTGCTCTGTGATGTTCAGTAAGGTGCCTGGGCCCAGAGGATTTACTCTCTGTGTGAGGGATTCCCTGCACATTGTGGTTTTCCTCTTGCTTTTGAGTTCTTTTCCATTGATTTCCATGCATTGTCTCATGAGTCACTGGCAGGGAAGGGTTTTGTGTCTTTTTCTCTTGCATTTTGTGAATCTAATGATGCACTTATGTTGCCCCACTTTTCCCTTTTCTTCATACCTTACCTACTAAAGGAGGGAATACCACTTTATTGGTAAGTGGATGTTAACCAGAAGGGAGTTAAACAAGAGTAACCATTAAAAAAAAAAAACAAAGAAAATGGGTCGCTGTTCACATCTCAGCAATTGTCTACAGGAAAAAAAAAAATCCAGACAGAGAAAATTGAGTAGCAGACGATTTGTTTTCTGATTCGATTGATTCAATAATTGTGATCTTTATTTTGTTCCTTCCATTTCTGTGATGTTCCGTCAAGTTGTCTTCTCTTTCTGTTTTGTTTCATTTTTTTTAACCATTACTAAAAAAAAAAAAAAAAAAAAAAACCTGAAGAAGTCCTCTTTTTCTACTCTACAAAATCTGTAGCTCTGTACTTTCTGCCTTTGCTCTTAAACTTATTTGGTTTACAGTTTTGTTTATTTTTTCCCTCTCTTCCTCCTCCTCCTAGTTTTTTTTTGTTTGTTTTTGCGATTATGATTTCTTCAACTCATTATGGTTTTGCATGCCAAGTATTGCATGCGCTGCACCATAGAGGACTATCTATAAGCCATATGGAGAAAACCTAGATCTTTTTCTTTTAGATGTTTACCTTCTTTTGGCAAGTACACCGTAGCACTCAGTCACCAACCTGGAAACACTCTAATGCTCTTTATGTCCTTTTTCTTTTTTTTTTCTTTTTTTTTTTTTCTTCCTTTGTTGGTCATCGTTTCTCTACAGAAGCTCCGTCTGCTGACCGCAAGCTCTGCAAGCATCCAGACCGCTCTGCTGAGAGAGCACAAGCTCCACAGCACCCCCAGCAGGAGCCAAGCGGGACAGATGTGCGCAGCAGGAGAGGCTGGGAGTGTGGACGGCAGGAACACAGCTGTAGGGAGCTCCGTAACCCAGACGTCAGGGAGGAGAGGGAGCCAGAGAGGCCAGAATAAGGCCTCTCACTCCCCTGCTCACAGCAGCGACTCGGCCCACTCCCAGCACAACCACGCTCACAGAGGGAGGAACTCTCGCCACCAGAGAAAGTGAGTACAAAGCCTACATCTAGGGCTGAGAGATATGACATATAAAATAATACATTAAACACAATATATATCTCAATGTTCTGAAGTCTCTAAACTACTGTAAACTACTAAACTAATAAATAAGCTACTATTACATTCAAGTTAAATAAAGTACTATTATAATACATTTAAATAAAGTACTGTTTAAAATAAAGTTTAAAAAGTACTATTCTAATACATTTAAATAAAGTACTGTTATAATACGTGTAAGGACTGTTCTGTTAGTTTAATAAAGAACTGTCACAATGAAGATAATCAAAGTACTGTTATAATAAAGTTAAATTAAGTACTGTTATAATAAATGTAAATAAAGTACTGTTGTAATAAAGTCAAATAAACTACTGTTATTATACAATTAAATAAAATACTGTTGTTTAAATGTAAATAAAGTACTGTTGTATAAAGTTAAATAAAGTACTATTGTAATAAAGTTAAAGTACTGTCACAATAAAGTTAAACAAAGTACTGTTATAATAAAGTCAGATAAAGTACTATTTTAATAAATTTAAATAAAGTACTGTCACAATAGAGTTAAATTAAGTACTGTTATGATACAATTAAATAAAGTACTGTTATAATAAAGTTAAATGAAGTACTGTTGTAATAAAGTTAAAGTACTGCCACAATTTATTTAAATGTATTAAAACAGTACTTTATTTAACTTTATAACAACAGTACTTAATTTAATTGTATCATAACAGTACTTAATTTAATTGTATCATAACAGTACTTTATTTAACTTTATCGTGACAGTTCTTTATTTAACTTAATTACTGTCACAATAAAGTTAAATAAAGTACTGTTATGCTCAATTTAAATAAAGCACTGTCACATAAAGTTAAATAAAGTACCGTTTTAATAGATTTAAATAAAGCACTGTCACAAAGTTAAATTAAGTACTGTTGTAAAAAGTTAAACAAAGTACTGTTGTAAAAAGTTAAACAAAGTACTGTTATAAAAAGTTAAATAAAGTACTGTTGTAAAAAGTTAAACAAAGTACTGTTGTAAAAAGTTAAATAAAGTACTGTTGTAAAAAGTTAAAGTACTGTTGTAAAAAGTTAAACAAAGTACTGTTATAAAAAGTTAAATAAAGTACTGTTATAAAAAGTTAAACAAAGTACTGTTATAAAAAGTTAGATAAAGTACTGTCACATAAAGTTAAAACACTGTTTTAATAGATTTAAATAAAGCAATGTCACAAAGTTAAATTAAGTACTGTTACAATACAGTTAATTAAAGTACTGTTATAAAAAGTTAAATAAAGTACTGTTGTAAAAAGTTAAATAAAGTACAGTTGTAAAAAGTTAAATAAAGTACTGTTGTAAAAAGTTAAATAAAGTACTGTTATAAAAAGTTAGACAAAGTACTGTTGTAAAAAGTTAAAGTACTGTTATAAAAAGTTAGACAAAGTACTGTTGTAAAAAGTTAAACAAAGTACTGTTATAAAAAGTTAAATAAAGTACTGTTATGATACAATTAAATAAAGTATTGTTATAAAAAGTTAAATGAAGTACTGTTATATTAAGATTAAAGAGTACCGTGTGTGAGGTGTCATGTTAGTGAGTTTTTTACTTTTTGTGTCTTCTTGTGCCATAGCACGAAGCAAAAGTCCCAAAATGCCACAGCAGGTCTCATGCCCGTTGCTTCAAGAAAGTGACATGACATTTTATACTCGAAGCTCATGATGAAGTTATTTTATGCTTCCCACTTTAGTCAAACTGCGATACATACTGAGAGAGAAATACTTGACATTTGCTGTATCATACTGTCCATTACCCAAGGACAAAAGGTGGCCACTCTTCCAAGCGTCACCACCGCTCCAGTCGGGGTCAGGCACACCACCGGAGCCAGTCGGCATCTCCGGGACGCCATCCACACACATCTGGCAGGAAGAAAGAGGAGTCTCGGAGCAAACCCAACCTCCGGCAGCGCAGCAGCTCCTGGAGCAGCGGGCGGTCGTCCTCACGCTCAGCCTCCAGAGACAGAGGCCCCAGCAAGGCCAAGTCCCCACACAACAGACAGAACAACTCCAGGTGAAACTTTGTCACACCTCTGTTACATTGTGTTTCAGTTTTTATAGAGCTTCAGTTTTATTTTGATTTCATGTGCTGTTCTGTGTGTCGTACAGAGAGCGGGACAGCCCCAACCGCTCTGACACCGACAGCCGAGCTCGCCGCCGCTCACGTAGCTACTCGCCCATTCGCAAAAGGAGAAGAGATTCGCCCAGCTTCATGGAGGCTCGCAGGATCACCAGGTAACTCAGCTGTCCAGCATCATCCTCATATTTTATTGAGATTAGATCACATTGTTATTCACAACTCACCAACCGTGTGGACTTTCTTCCAGCAGAACATCAGAAATACGGCTCCTGTGAGACGGTTTGTTTGTGTTGAATTTCATTTTCTGCTTTTATTTCTTTGGAATTAACAGCGCTTTAACACAACACACGTTTTGCCCGAGGGCACGTTAACACTCCGCAGTTAAAATGTTTCCCATAATTTTACTGCACCGCACTCATGCTGGGTGAACATCATTCCTCCACAGCTGCAAATTACAGCAATGACAAACAAAAGGCATAAAATGAGGGAATTTCTTTCTGCTTTAACTCACAAGTGGAAATTTTAAGAATCCCATCCAGAGCCGTTAAATCCTGCGTGTAGAGTAGAAATGAAAATCATTTTTGTTGTTATTGTTTTCACCCTGAAAACATGTGGAGGAAGCTTTCCTTTCAGCCCTGAGTAGTGGCTGCGAGTGTTTGTAGTGCTGTTGAACTTGTCTTGTGTTTTACTGTCAGGTGTTTCTGTCCATTTACTGAGGGCACCCTGAACAACAGACCCCTCTCTGTGTGATGCACTACAGTTTAACAGCACAACAAACTACCGCCTCCAAAATGACTATAAAGTTGAATCGCTGCTTCTCTGTAACAACAAAAACTGAACCTTATAACCTTCATAAATGTAACTGCTGACATCAGTCTCAGCCGGCTGCTGTACCTGAAACTGATTACCGAGAGTACCTCACAATAAGAACATAAAATCCATACAGAGGTGACGTATGATTATAAAGGCTGAGAGGACTCTGTATTGATTTATTTAGTTTGTCTTGTCTCTTTATTTATTGATGTACTGATTTGTTTGTGTGGTTTTGTTTATTGTTCCATTGATGACCATTTACAAAGCTCCTCCACTGTGAGAGCACATTTATACCCTGTATCCTGCTCTGTTTGAATACACTTAACACTTACATGAAAGTCATTATCAATACGTTTTACTATTTCACTACTTTTTACTGTTTTCAAAGTTTCTTATTCATCATTTGATCTGTTGATCAATCAAAAAATAAATATATGAAAAAAAATGTATATGAAAACACAGCAATGAATAATTGAATACAGAAATATATAAATTAATGCAGAGATAAATATATAAATAAATACAGAACTAAGTAAATAAACGTATAAGTAATTAAATACAAAAATAAGTAAATGCTAGAAAAAGTAAATTAATGTTTAAATAAATAAATAAATGTATAAGTTAATACTAAAATAAGTAAATAAACATACAAGTAATTAAATATAGAAATAAATAAATGTATAAGTAAATATTTAAATAAGAAATTAAGTGTTATAAAAATAATAAATAAATAAAAATATATATATATGTTCATATGAATACATGACTACATAAATAAATAAATANAAATAAATATGGAAATAGGTAAATAAATGGATAAATACATTTACACATTAAGAAATATATAAATAATAATAAATGAAGTTTAAAATATGGAAAAAAATAAAGATATTTATATACATTTCATGGATTTCTGCATTTATACATGCATATATTTATTTCCATATGTATTTATCTATTCTTAATTAAATTATGCAGTTACTCATTTCTCTATTATTTCAGCATGTCTTTATACCTTTAGCTTTTTATTGATACATAAGTCATTTTTTGTCTTCTGTATGGATATTACTTGTGATAAACAAACAGATAATAAGGTGTGCTCAGTTTTCTGCTGTTTTCAGTATACTGCAAAAATACAACTAATTGCTTTGTGAATTAAAACAAATGAACAGAAATTATTTCCAACATTCTTTATTCACCAAATCAAACACTGAAGTGAGCACAAAAGGCACCAGTAATAAAAAGAGTGACAGGTTTCTACTGATACTCGCTTTCATCTAACTTAAAAAGTCCCTCAGCACAATATAGCACTCTTTCACAATGTATTTATCACACATGTTGACATCACAATGACAATAAAATGATATACTGTGCAGCCCTAATTAAAAAGTGGTTCATAGTGAGTTATTAGATGTACAGAGAAAGCTCACACGTCCCTGTGAAAAGAAAAAAAGAGGCTCTCCATGTCACCTCTCTGCCCTCTCATACAAGTGTTAATAGACATAGGTGAAATGTGTGTCATCTTTCACTCCAGTCCTAAAGGTCCTGACGCCACGACGACGGGATGCTGCTGAACTTAGCTGCTGCAGGCTAGTTGCCCCGGTAACAGTTGCCGCGCAGCGGGATCCGACTAGTCTGTCTCCTGGAGCTGAACAGCAAACCATCAGAGCTCCCCTGAGTAAACCTGGTCTCCTCCTGTGTTTTTTTCTGTCCTCTCTCTGCTCCTTCATCTCCTTCCTGAAATTTACACAAAGAAACTCACACCTGCTCTAAAGCTACACCCCTCTGCGGCGATGCACTAATGCTGTAACACGGGGAGATTAAAATGCTATCAAGGTTTATTTAAGCGGATATCTCTCCACTGCACAGGCTGTGGATTCCCACGGCAGATACAGAAGACAAAAGCTCAGGCTGAGTTATCTACGTGCCGCTGAAATGACAAGGTGAAACACACCTCGTAGCAGCGGGGATACCTTGATAGCGTTTATCTCTCCGCGCACTGTTGGCTGTTGATTTCTCTGGGTGTTGGCCTCCACTGAGAAGATGAGGTTCTTATGGGAACTAACAGCTAATTACCTTACAGGAAGCACTTCCAGGGTGGCTATTAACAAGGCAATCTAGGCTTAAACTAACGACATGCATTTCTCTGCTAAGGGTGTGTGTGTGATCTGAGCGTGACTGTGTGTGTGTGGCTGAACAGCTTGGACGTTTTTTTAACCCATAGAGCTGCTCTCTTTCAGATCCTGTACTGATCATAAGTCTGCCATGTCTGTTACCTAACAAGGGCTGGGCGATTTGATCAAATTTTATTTTACAATTTTGGTTTCCAGCGATTATGAAAACAAGATAATCCAGATAAAATTATTATTGTTAATTTTTTTTATTTGTTTTTTAAATGAATAATATTCTAAGTTCAAGAAAACCCCAAAAATATTTTATCTAATATTTTTCGTTTTATTTATATGTTCCTTTTTTACATTATTTTTGTTTGTTTTGCAGTTGAATTATATATAAAGTCCATAAAAACCTAAGGTTGAAGAGACAATTTTTTTATATTATTTATTTATATTTTCTATACATTTTTTTTTTAAATTTGCTTTTCAGCTGAAAAGTTCTAGAAAAATCCAAGGTTAAAAACACAATATTTTGCAATTATTTTATTTATTTAGCTTGTTTTTCTTTTTTTTTTTTCAATTTAATTATATTTAAAGTTAAAGAAAACCCACACTTAAAAAGACAAGTTTTTTATTATTTACATATTTTATTTATGTCTTTTTTTCCACATAGTTTTTAATTCATTTATAAAATGAGTTTTATTTAAAATTGAAAAAATGAAAGGAGACAAACAAAAAAGAGATAAGTAAAACAAATGATATAAAAACTTGCCTTTTAAACTGTTATTTTTTTAATTTGAATTAAATAAGTAAAACAAAATTGTTAAAAAGACAAGTTAAAAAAACTCCAGTCATTTAGTACTCAAATCAGTACTCTGATTTTTGCCATAATCGAGCAGCCCTAACCCTAACATGATTTGCAACTCAACCTAACTGATTTGCTCTCAACCAACTAAATCTCGTCTGTGTTTTCCATCAGTGTCAGACGAAGGACTGACCATGACACTAACTCATAAAACTCATCTGATGTAGCTGTTAACACTCCATCCTCCCCCTCTCTCCTCTCCTCAGTGCTCGGAAACGTCCAATCCCGTACTACCGGCCCAGCCCTTCATCATCCAGCTATGACAGCAGCCCGTCGCGATCCAGCCGCAGCCGTAGTCGCAGTTACAGCAGCTATAGCCGCAGCAGAAGCCACAGCCGGAGCCACAACCGGAGCCACAGCAGAAGCCGGAGCCGAAGCCGGAGCTGGAGTCGGAGCCGCAGCCAGAGCCGGAGCTGGAGCCGCAGCAGGAGTCGCTCCCGCAGCCACCACAGTTACTACAGCCGCAGCAGCTACGACAGTCCCGGCTTCTGAGGCGCAACACACAGCGCAGAGGAGCAAACAAAACAGAGGAGAAGTCCTGTTAAATTTACTGTGCTCTGTTTCAGCCATGATCTTTAACAAGCCCTCCACAGACTGCTGTACAGTCCAGGGCCCAAACTCCTCGACCCCAGACCATTATCTCTCTCCAACGCAGAGCCTGGATCAAAGAGGAGAAACGTCTTTTCATATAACACATTACTATGAAATTGGCTGTCACTGTCTTCACGTAAACAAGGTATTAAAGGATAAGGGTTACCACATGTCAGAAATTAGTTTGGTAGAGCCCAAAGAACAAATCTTGCTGTATGTTAGCACTTTCTATCTCTTCTTTCACAACGCAACCAAAAATGAATCCATTGAGAACTATATACTATATAAATATATATATATACTATATCCTGACAGTAGGAGCTGAGTAGAAGACAGAAAGAGGACACATCAACGGCTTACTGTACATCTCAGATTTTTTCCCCCTCATCATCTCCCCAAAGACTTCCATTTCATCGAAGCACAGAGATCAACAAGAGTTAGAACAAAAGGAGACGTTGGCGGATGAAAACGGGAGCGTAAAAGAGAAGGAACTTTTTTTATGATAAAACTTGTATTGTATAGGTTTGTCTGTATAGATGTAAACTCTCTTCAGTTCTGGCTTTGTAAACTATGCACTGTATATTCCATCTAGTTTGACGAGGTTTGTTTCGCATGATGCATCAGGAGGGACTTGCTGCTGGAAGGAGAGTACCTGGCCGACACGAGAGGTGCCTGGGTGCATCTGTGCTCTCCGCTGGCCGATACAGTATGTCAGCCTCCTGCGTACAGAGGTGAATGGGACTATTTATTATGTACTTTTACTCTTCCCTGTTTAAATTATGTTGGTTCTGCTACTCCTGACTTTACGTGAGAGTGTGTGTTTGTGTGTGTGTGTGTACCTCCTCTGCAATGACCGGTGAGGTAATCACTGATGTGTGCGCCGCTGTAGCCTGCACCTGAGGCTGCTGTATGGTACTGTACAGGTAAACTGTCTGCAAAAAGTCTCCATGCACACATGTGTTGACCACAGCTATTTATGATTCTACTGTATTTATTTCTTTATTATTTATTTATTTATTTATTTATTTATTTATCATTTTTTGCAATGAGCTGTAAAGCAGTCGGATCATGCTTCGAAGATGCTGCAAATGTATTCCCATTTTAATATGCACTGTATATGTCCATGTTTTACACAAAATCGGTCTCTCATTTTGGCAAAGGCTTGCTGTCGCTATCAGATTAACGAGCAGGGTGAAGATTCACCGCTGTGTGTTTTTAAAATGCTCTGATTGTAGCCAGTGGAAACGGAGCCTTCGCCCCCAGCTACTCTCACGACTGCCATTATGGCACCCCCGGCCTTTTGTAGTGGTTCATTTTCACACAAGCCATTGTGGCTCTGCCTGTGCTGAGGAGCGAAGGATCAGAACAAAACCAAACATCTCCAGAGTCCATTATTCTACTCGACTGTATGTTTCCACCACATATTCTAATCCCTTGTATAATGGGCTGCAAAATGTTTCTGTCAGAGGTCCCCTGCTTACCAGCTTCAGGAGGAGGATGTATGTGGTGTAACCTGGTACAGCAGAGCAACTCATCACCAGACAAAATGTTGGCATTGTACATCTCTGCAAATCATGGTTACATTTTAATTGCAAGTTATTATGACGACGTTACTTTGAAACTTTATTTTTCAACAACACAGTTTTTGGGACATGCTTCAAGCTGGATATGCAGCTATGTCTCAGTAAAAAAAAATCACTTTGATGGCACAACCCCGGCAGGAAATGCAGCAATACTTCAGTTAAAAACAACCGCTTTTCGTGGCACTATCCCTGCAAGAAGATCAGCGATGTCTCGGTAAAAAACATGCTTTTCGTGGCACTATCCCAGGAGGAAACGCAGCAACATCTCTGTGAAAAAAACAACCATTTATTGTGGCACTATCCCTGCAAAAAAGCAGTGATGGCTCAGTAAAAAACAACCACTTTTCATGCCCCTATCTGCTGGAAAAACAGTGACGGGTCATTAAAAAACACCCATGTCTGGTGCCTAAAACCATCTGGAAACACAGCAATGAATTACTAATAAAAAAAACAGCGTACGTCACCTTAGAAAGGTTGATATGAAACATATGACCCATACCATTGTAAGGTTTTCATGGTTTGCAGAATTGTACAATGCCAACAATTTCTCCTGGCGTCTGGGCTGAGCAGAGACAGCAGCAGGCTCTGTAACGCCTCCTCTGTCTTTAACCTCAGTAGAACGGTAAACAAACTGGCGATACAATCAGGGATCATCACCCTAAGTCTTCCTTACCATCCGTCCGGCCTCTTGTCATTCACACAGTGTTGCATTTCCAGTGTAACCAGACCTAACCCAACTATGATACTCTGCAAACCTGTTAATTTATTCCAAGTATAGCATTGCCCCTTTGGTTCTATGAGTCATTCTTTGTAGTGTGCAAGTTATTATACCTGACAATAAACAGAAACAAATGGGGAAATAATTCAGCTCTCATGTTGTTCTTTCTCTTCTTAACATTCAGGTGCAGTGGTATGATGTCATGCAGTGTGTATATTTCCCTACAGATGGCACTGATGAGAACCTTCTGGTACTTGATATAGAAATGGCCAGAATGTTCTCCAGCTCTGCTGAACTATCTCAACCTCTAGTTCAGCCCAGACTGAGGGGAGGATGTGGTCTATTTTAGGGAGTGTGCAGATATACATACTTCTTGTTGTCACTAAACAAGAGCTGGGCAAAATCCTCAAACAATCAATAGCTAAAACAAAATTAAGAGTGAATGAAAATAATTAAAAAACCTTCCCTCAATAGCAAAACCTACATTTAAACTATACAAGAGTGCCTCTGTGCTGTCTATCAACCCCCTTCCAAGGAAGACAATAGAGTCCCCATGCATGAGATGTGAGGCTTCCTTCAGGGTCCCCAGAGGTAGGAATTTCCTTTCTGCCACAAAAGTACTAAAGCTAAAGGCCTTTTTCTACTTGTTCAGTTAATTTAAGTCCTTCTCGCTCACAATGACAGAACTGTAACTTCTGTGTGAACACCAAACAGCTGCTATAAGTGAAATAAAATCTGAGAAAGCCACACAAAGAGTGAAATGTTCAAGCATTACGAGGCAGATGCAACTTAATCACAGCTCTCATTAGCATTTTAGCATTAGCAAGGTGCCGATAAAGAGCAGGAGTCCACAAAATATTGTCTATGATAATCTTGTTTCTCAAAGTCAAGGACGCTTCCTTGGTAGGACGGGTCCAATTTTCTGAAGGAATGATTCGGTTTTAGTAGAATTCAAAGGATCCTTGACATTGAAACAGTCCTTCTTCGGCGGGATGTGATGATGTAGCTTCCTTGAACTTCAGCCATTTAAGGATCCTTTCTTGGCTTTGAGAAACATGATGTGAGTCCATTGGAAGTTATGTCCCTTTTTTTGTGATAGGCCACTCTCATTACCATGGCCCCTTTTAGCTAATTGGTACTAACACACACACACACACACACACACACACACACACCCTTGACCTCCATGCCAAATATGCCTCCTGGGGCAAAAGCTGACCAACAGAGTGAGCTATAGAGCTGCTAGTTAAAGCACAAAACACTAATGTGTTTGATGGCTATATTTTCTGCATATATTTTAAAGGCTGACTGAGTGTAGACAACTTTGACCATTACTTTTGTTTTTATATGACACACACTTTTAGTAATGAGTGGATCTTCAAGCGTTTGAATTTAATATTAATTTAAATTTCGTGTTGTCGTGCAATCTCGTTCTGTGGACGATAAACAAGGTGCAAACTGATAAAGGAGGAAGTGCAGTGAGTGCTAGATGGAGCAGTGAGTGACAACAACCCTGCCCAAATGAAAGAGTACTGTTTGCGGTGGAAATGCTAAGCGGAACAAGGGTCTAGGTACCATGTCTGAAGGGTTACTTTTGGTTCCAAAGGTACCATCTTGAAAGTGTTTGGTGGAAACAGGGCGAAAGCATACCGAACTAAACTGTATCGTACCATACTGCTTGGTTTAAATGGGGCTAAGTCCGCAGTTGGACCATCTTGTGAAAAGGTGTTGGTCAGTGGGATGTCACCACATACACCAGACATTTTGTCAGACATGTAACTGAAAACTAGAGCCGTGAAACTGAAAAAAAAGTAAAAATGTTGTACTGAGATTTTTTTGCTTTTATGGTGTTTTTGTTTGTTTGTTTCAGATTATTTCCTTTATTCTCAATTTTTTTTCTCTTGTCGGATCCTTCTTAAATTTTGCTCGGTTTTATTCAGAAGTAAACTATTACACTGACGTAAAGAAAAAAGTCTGTGGTAGACTGTGAACCCTCCGACTCACATTATAGCTGGATCTCATAAGCGCAGGGTGACAGGGTTCAACGCTGAAGTCTTTTCCTCTAAAGGCAGAACATCTCATGAGAGTGTCAGTGCAATGCTGGTGGGAGCATATCTGTGACATACAATAAAGCAACACAGTGGCAAAAACAGTCTGTCAGGCTGTCAGCAGCTGAGAGAAACCACAGCTTATTCACTCCCCGTTTATGACATTAATAACACAAGGGGCTGCGGAAAACGTCACTAACACTAATCTGATAACAGCTTATTGTGAATGTGAGCTTAATATTTAGCATAGACCAAATACTTTGGCTCCTCGCTTCCTTCATTGCATCATCCTTAGTGTCATTATTTCACAAGTGACCTCAGGATGAGTCAGGAAGTCATATCACACCCAACTTTTTTGTCTTTGTGACTTTTAACTGTGTGTTTGTGTGTGTTGATGGGTGTTTGAGCAACATTACCTTCCATCCATATCACAACCTGACGTTTCCTGCACATTTAATATGTGGCTGATAATAGCATGGTACTGTCTGTGCTGTATATCACATCATGGCCTATAAAGAGCCATGTTAGAAATAGCATGCTAGCCTCATCAAACTCTTGTGTTGTGTGTTCAGCAGGCCCGGTTAACTCCCAGAGAAAGGGAGGCAGGTTCAACAGTGCATTGGGCAGCTGTTACTGGGGAGGGCCTCCCTGCTGGATTCCATTCCAGTGCTACGTCTGCCCACAAATAGATATTCTAGTACTTTCCATAAAGGCGTTGGGGGTGTGAGTTGAGGGGGCTTGAGTCAGAGGGGAGGGCTCTGTTTACAGGGGTGGTGTCAGTGTGTATAAAAGCTCTCAGCTGTGAGGCAGAGAGCACGCTGGAAAACATTTTCAGAGAGGCCAAAGGGCTCTTCATCTGCAGCCAGCAGCTCTCCATCACAGCCACCCTCCTCTGCTGCCTGAACACAGCCGCCATGACAGAGAGACGTATTCCTTTCACCCTGCTCCGCACCCCGAGCTGGGACCCATTCCGTGATTGGCACCAGAGCAGCCGCATCTTTGACCAGACCTTCGGCATGCCGGCCCTGCCTGAGGACTTCGCCACATTCCCCAGCACCCACTGGCCGGGGTACCTGCGGCCCTCCGTCCTGACCCCGGATATGGGTGCCATGGTGCCCCATGCCCCCATGATGTACCCAGCACCCATGATGGCCCAGCAGGCCCGTGCATTGTCCCGCCAGATGAGCAGCGGCGTGTCAGAGATCAAGCAGACCCAAGACAGCTGGAAGGTGTCCCTGGATGTCAACCACTTCTCACCTGAGGAGCTGGTGGTGAAGACCAAGGATGGTGTGGTGGAAATCACAGGTGGGCACTCATTTCTCCTTTACTGATCCCCTACTGGTACGCCACTGTTACCTACTGCATGCAGATTCAAGGAGCATAGTGTAGACTAAAAACCTGATGTGTTGAAAGTCAGGAAGGGCCAGGCTTTGATTGGACCAACATAATAACATCCAAAAGGTGCTTTAGATACATATAGGACAGGTGCATTGGCAGGAAAAGAACAAAATATTTCACTTGCTGTACGTATGTTTGTCTCTTTAATGTGCTAGAGAAACTGCTCCAGTACTGCAAAAAAGACACAAGATAAAAAGGCAGGAAACATTTTTTACTAGGTCAAGCACAAGGCAGATGCATCGCTGCAGAGTTACATAATGTCCTGAGACAATATCCTGAGATCCAGCACACTGGAGGGCGTGAGCTTCTGGATGCACGCCTGCGAGATGCAAACAAAACACAATTCAACATGTGGGAGTTGACTTTTGCAGCAGCTCACAGACGAACACAGTGCAGAAAGGGTTTTAGTGAATAGCCAGTTTGCCTCTTGCTGTGAAATGATTTCATTGTCCATCCCAGCATGTGAAGGACCAGAGCAAAATGTGCAAACCTGAAGAAAAAAATGTGTGGAATGGATCATATAATAGCTTAGTTCTCTGAGGCCATGAGCTCCCTTTTCTCGGAGTCAGTCTCAGCCTCTCTGTCTGCCATTTCATAAAGAATCACTCCCTTAGAGTAAGGGATTTAGCCGTGACTCACCCAGTGTGTCTGCTACTTTAAAAGGACTGCTGGATCTAGTCCAGATACAGGGTCCTGGGCCGGACTATGGCCAATACCTCACTGCTGAGAGACTGGGTCTAGTCCGGAACAGATAAACAAAGTACGGGCTAAAGTCCAAGTGGAATTTGCCACCTAATGTTTCTTGTATGTCACCAGAGAATGAGGATTATACTGTATGTTTAAAGATCATATGATTGGCTTAATGAAGAGTTTAGTGCACACGCCAAAGTTCAACCTCTTTATACAACAATCCTTTTCATGCGACTAATGACCCTTCATATGGTGGCTGAAAGAGTGAGGACTTGGCCCAGACACACTCGCAGTGGCAGTGTTGTCTGTTGAAAAGGGGTCAGGTCCCTGTGGAGAGCAACCTTTATCAGCCGGTTGTCATAACAAACACATTACTGTATTTAGAGCCAGAATGAAGGGCGATGTTTCAACATCACAGCCAGGCGTCTCAGTGGCATGACAGACTGACAGAACCTGATGAAGACTGGTGAGGAGCTGCAAGAGATAAA